TTTCAGAACTGGGGATTGAACAGGCCTTTATGCTTGCCAGGGAAGCGCTTATTCCACTGAGCCATCTTCCTGGGCCCCTGTAAAGCATTTTCAAAATTAAAAAAAAAAAAAAATTTGGATAAAGAAATAGGACATCATTAGAACGTTAATTCTTGACACCATTTTGAACCATAGTCATTTAATCCTATAAATAGTCCAGTATTACAGATGATACATATGTTATATGTGTATACGAGTGACTCTGGGTCACATAAGGGTAGAGACCACAGCGAGTATTTGGGTGCCTCACACTCTACAGCTAGATCCCAGAAGGCGGATGCCCTATGTATCATCCGTAACACTGGAATATTGTGTCCAGTGTCCACATCACACCCAAGGAAACAGGTGTAAAGAGTCTACTGAGTCAGAGTTCAAAAGCACATAGTCTTATCTTCTATTCCACGGCTGCAGCTGCAGTATTCTTACATATCTGGGTTAATAAAGCTCTTCATATCTGGATGAGGGTCTCAGGGAGTTGCAATAAGGTAATGTATAGAAAAGTATGTGGAAACAACTCTTCTTACAAATATTTTACTGCCATTTGAAAGCTGGAGAATAAATCTGCTTTGTGGCACTGTTACGAGAATCAAAGGAAACCTGTGATTTGAAGATAGACAGATGACAGACAGTCAGATAGAGAATTCTTAAAGATGTGTGAGGTTGCACTTAACACCAGTGCTTTTTATTATCATTCTTTTTGTGTGTGTGCAGGGTCTACGGGGTTTCTCACTACATAGATCGGACTCGTAGTGATTCTCCTGTTTTCAGCTTCCCAAGCGTTGGGATTATAGGCACATGCCACCACGCCCAGTCTCAATCACCGTCCCAGTATGGCAGACCAGGGATCAAACCTCTGACCTCTGCATCTGTCTAAGCAGGCACTTTAATCTGCTGAGCTAACTGGCCGGCCCTTTTACTATCACTCTTAGGTCTCTGGGGTTAAATGAGAAACGAGTCAGAGTTCAGGGAACAGATCTCCATGTGGTCCAGGGATAGGAAAGTTCCAAGAAGGACACCTGAGCTCAGGGGGAGGAGTAGGGATCAAAGATGTACTGATATCCTGTAGGCTGTAAGACGAGTGACTCTGGGTCACGTAAGGGTAGAGA